ACGCCATAAACTTCCAACAATTCGGCTCCACAAGTGCCCATCTTCATTTTAATAATTCAAATGTTAACTGTAGTGTCAACCTACGTTAAAAGAGGTCTCATAAAATATAAACTGAAAGTCCGCTTGGGTGGTTTCAGCACACAGAATAAACGTGGGTGGAAAAGGAGAATGTTTCCCCAAGAAAGCTCCGTGCCTCTAAAGTCTGAGGAGGAGCTATTTCCATTTGAAAGCTCAGCTGCAGCTCAAGAAGCAGCAGGGCTACAAGAAGAAGAAGCTAGCAAAAGTCTTGACGTTCAAAGAGTCGGAAGCGACAAGGCAAATCTGAGGGTGTGCCAGGATTTCTGAGCTGAGGAAGCAATTTCTGACTACAAGATGATTCATGTAGCTTCCCTCAGAGGGCAAGTTTCATTCCTAATGATTAGAAATAGGAGTGGAAAGAAGAAAGTTCTGCCATCCGCAGAAGGGATGGGGCATGGGGCTGAGGCTGGCCCTCTGAGAGTCGCGTCCTGGGTCACTTTTTCTGGCCTTCCCGCTGGCAGCCTTGGCTCTCACACCACCCTCCACCCGTGCCTGGCTGGTTCTGGGCACTGTGATGGGAAAGCCTACTAAGGGCTTATCTGCTGCCACCCACCTCCCCCTCAGCCTTCTCAGCCTCGCCTCTCATACCCGTGGCCCTGGGAAAGGTCCAGGCCACAGACCACCACATCTCCTGAGAGGTCTCTGGGCTTTGGCAGGCTGTGGCCCTGCCTGGAATGACCTTGCTCCCTCGCCCGCTGGGTAAACTCCTCCAGAGTTCTCGGGACTCAGCTCTGTCACTTGGTGTCAGGAGCAGCCCTGGGCAGGTTACTCGATATTTCTGCAGCTCTGTTTTCTTAGCTGCAAGACGGGAATTGTCCTATTTGCCTTGATTACCTGGAAGGGATGTGGAGGGTCAAACTAGACAGTGGCTGGCAAAGCAAACTACAGAGGGTAAGGCTCAGAAATAATAATAGAAGTGATAAGAGTAACAACTGGAGCGGTCTGAGCGCTTGCTACGTGTCCAGCACTGTGCTGACAGCCACACATACACCTTCTCATCTGATCTCAGAGCAGCCCTGGAACTGCCTCAAGGCAAAGGTGCAGCCAGAGGACTTGGAGAAGGAGTGGTGGTGAGCTGTGCAGGCTCTGGACTGGACAGACCTGGATGTGAACCCTGGCTCAGCCTCTCATCTGCTCTGGGGCTCTGGGCATGTTCTTTAACTTCTCCCAGCAACAGTGTCCTTATCTATGAATTGGAGATGTGATGTCACCTACTTCATGGGGTCCTCATACAAGGCAACATGGGTTAAGCACTCAGCAATAAGTCTGGCTAAGTGAATATTAGTGATTATGATTCATTGTATACTCATTTTACAGATTGGAAAACAGAGGCTTGAAGAGGTTAGTTAACTTGCTCAGGGTCACATGGGTGGTAAGTGCTGCAGCTGAAGTTTGAATCTTGGTCTGTCAGACTTCAGAGCCAAAGCTCCTAACCTCTGCTTACTGGACTGGGTGTCAGGACGTCTGGATTCTAACTCCACTAACCCACAGGGTGACTTGGCCCAAGTCCTCTCTCCCATTTCTGGGCCTCAGAGTAAAGCAAGGGGGCTGGACCAGGTGGTCCTTAAGGTCCGCGGATCCATGTAGATTATACCTACACAACCTACCCCTGCAAATACTCATCTAGTTTAAAAAAAAATCTTTTAGAACAACAGGCACTAGCTAATTTGGAAGTCTCCGGATCAATGCAGACTAGAGAGTTGAGGGCAGTTTCAGAATAGATTCGCTCGGCATGCTGGAGGTACCAAGAGAGCACTGGTATTAGCCGTGGGACTGGGACCAAGGCCAACTACTACTTCTTGCTGTCACAAGAATAGGAAAGTAGAACATAGAGGTAGCCCTGTCCTGAGCCTCTTATCAATTCATATTCATCCATCCACCACCCACATATTCATCCGTCTGTCTACTCTTCCATTTACTCATCCATCCATCCATCCATCCATCCACCTACCCACCCATCTCTCCATCCATGCCCCACCCATCTCTCCATCCATGCCCCACCCACCCATCCAACCCTCTCCCTACCTAGTCTTCATCTCACTGATACATATCTATAAATTTATTCACCAGTCAATTCACTGACCTCACCCGCCCAACCAGTACTTCCCAAGAGCCTATGCTGGGGGGGAGCAGAGATAACTCAGCTGTGTCTCTCCCTCTCGAAGAGCACACAGCCTGCATCAGACTGCAAGAAGACACAGAAGAATCGGCACCCTCGTGCAGGGGGAAATACAGCCTTGCCCATGGTCTGTTTCCCAGGCCAAGCTCATTTCCCAACCAAAGCTTATGGGTAGCGTGGGGACATTGCGTGCCTCTCCTGCCCGACTCCTCTTGCATGGTAAGGATGTTTTGCAGTCTAGATTTCCCAGACTGGTCTGGAGGGTGGCTGGACTTCCACCCTCAACTGAGCAGCCTGTGACTCTTCTCAAAATTCCTCTAGGCCTAGAAGGGCAGTCCCTGGGAGCCCCTTCTCCCAATATGGCTGACAGCCCTGGCTGTGAATCGGACCCTCTAGACTCCACGCCTTCCTTCCTGAGACCAACCAATACTAAAGATGCTGCAGGATTGGTTTCAAGGACCAAGAACCGAATCTGGACACCCTACTCAACAGCTGGCTTTAGGGTATCTATAAGTTGGCTTTGCCACTAATTGGTTGTGTAACTTTGGGCAAGACCCTTTCCCTCTGTAGCCCTGATGCCTCTGCTGTCTATTCGTTTATTGATTAACCTCTGCCTGGTTACCAAGGGATGATTTTACTGCTGACGAACAACCATGCTAATCACCCTGAGCGCTGAATATGTGCCAGGCCTTGTGCTAAGCACTTTCCACTTACTAACTCATTTCATCCTCACAGTAATCCTATCATCTCCCCCAGGAAACTGAGGCACAGAGAGGTTAAGTAACTTGTTTACAGTCACACAGCTAGTGAGGGATTTGAACCCAGGCCGTCTGGCTCCAGAGTGTGAGCTTTAACTACCACCCAGACATACCAGGGGCCTCTGCTGTCCCTTCCACATTGACGGCCATCAGCGCCCAGCAAAGAGAACCGTGTGGCCAGGGTTCTTTCAGGGAAGCCCCAGAAAGAAAGGCACAAGGGTTCTAGGATGCCAGGGTTCAAGGCACAGAAGGGGACACTGGTGCCCGAGAGGTAAGTGACTTGGCCTGTTTACAAACCGAGGGTCCCGGTTCCCAGGTCCTTGAGCTCTTTCCAGGCTTGGCAGACACACTTTTCCCCAAGGCGGGCTGACGGACCCCTGTCCTTTAAGCCACCTGGATACAGCCTCAGTCACCGACATCTGGAAATGAATTTGAGCTGTGCCACCGGTGCTGTGAAGCTGCCTAATTGAGCCTTATCGCTGCAAAGATGTTTCGCAGCCCTCCTGGCAGATCCGAGAACTCCTTTTCGACTGTAATTGCATAATATACATCTCAATTCAAGCCCATCTTGCAGGGCTCTGCCCACACAGCCACCCCCATCACCAGAAGCCTATTCTGGGAATTGCCCCACTCCCCTCTCTGCGGGACGAGATCATTAACAGCATCTCAGTTATTTTAGGAAGGCCTGGGGAACAGAATAAAGCATCGTCAACCTCCCTTGATTCCCAAATCGGGGCTGGGAGGTAGGGGATGGGGTGGGGTGGGGAGAAGACAAAAACGCCGTCTTTTCTGGCATTCCCCCGCCCCGCGCTCCTGCCGCCCCCAGCATCCTCTATCATCCATCTGCACGCTTTCTCCCGACCTACTTTCTCCTTCTGTCAGTGCTGCCTCCCCAGCCTGCAGCTCAGGGCTGATGCAGGAGTACCTGCTCAACCACAGGGGCGGGTGCAGTCCTTGCAGCCCCAGTGTCCCGTACCCCCCACCAGCCTTTGGCCCTTTGCCGCTGACTCGTGCTCTTCTCCCAGACTTGATAAAGCTTCTGGCACTCCCGCCACCCAGCCTGATCCTGAAGGTTCAGGCCGGCTCAGGAGCCGAAGGAGAGGTCAGGGCTAGGGCACGTTGGCGGGGTAAGCAGGAAAGCTCAGCTGCTCACCCAGATGCTCACACTGTAGAAATGGGCTCTGGATGGACAAGTTTGTATTTCTCTTCATTCGAATACTGGTTAATCACCAAAAGGCAACCTATGCTTCTAACCCAATCAGGGATTCTAGCATGATGCGTCCAGGCAGCTGAACTGAGACAGGAATATGAGAGTTTTTCTTAACAAAACGAGTACTACCACTACTATTACTGACAACAATGTCGTCGCCAGTGGTAGATTGTGTAAATGGCCACAATTAGTACCCTCTCTGAATCCACACCCTTTACAATGTGACTTTGAAGTTCCTCCCATTAGAGATGGAGTCTATTTCCCTGCTGCTTGAATCTGGACAGGCCTCTCGACTTGTGTTGGCCAACAGGATGCGGCAAAATGACAACGTGAAGAGCCCAGATTAGCCTGCTGGAGGAGGGGGACCACACAGAGCAGAGACGAACCGTCCCAGCCGAGGTCATCCCAGATCAGCCTAGAGTCCTGCCAAGATCAGCAGAGTTGTGGATGTGATCCACCTCAGACACACGAGGACATGGTCCCCCAGTTGAGCCCAGCCTGAACTCCTGACTCACAGAAATGAGAGCTAGATACACAGCCTGGTTTTCAGCCACTACATTTTGGAGTAGTTATACAGCAGAAGCTAACTAATAAAAAGACTATTTTTTTGGTAGGGAGGGCAATGACAGGGTCTAAAAAACACAATTAACAACAATCTTCTTTTTTGTGTCATGCGAACAGCACAGCTAAGTCAAAGAGAAACAGGCTGCTTACTATCTGACCACCCAAAACCCATCAGTAGGGTTTAGAATTATGCATCACACTGCTTAGCCTGCCCAGTACTTCTGTATCGCCCCCGGACGCTCCTCCCTCTGGTGGAGGCTGCACCACTTACCAGAATCTTGGTGGTGTAGGCGCTGTTGATGGCAATGGCGTTGACCAGCAGCTCCATGGTTTTGGCGTTGATGGAGCTGGGGTCGGGGACCTCCTTGTAATGGACGTCGCCCACGTAAACCTGCACCACCGTCATGCGATTGGTGGTGAGTGTGCCCGTCTTGTCCGAGCAGATGGCCGTGGCATTGCCCATGGTCTCACAGGCGTCCAGGTGGCGGACCAGGTTGTTGTCCTTCATCATTTTCTGGGGGAAGGGGCAGGTGAGATGGCAACAGTGAGGAGAGGGAGCTGGGAGGCAGGGTCACGGTGTAAACGCGCAGGAAATGAGGCAGAGCTGCCCCTTTGCTTCACACATGTGCGAAGGATCTTGCTGGCTACAGCCCCTGTCATCTGGACTCCTTTTCTGTGTGCAGCCCTTTCTCTCTCTCTCTTTTTCGTTTCTTTTAAATTATTTGAGGCATTTAAAAGAGTTGATTAGTTGACTTTATTAATTTGGATTACAGAAGTAATCTGTATTCTTTATGGAAAAAATAGGGAAAAGGATGATAAATGAAGATTGGGTCCTTTCTGATTACTTCAAATAGTTTCCTCTTACACCCTAACAGAAATAAATTCCTTATTTGGTTATGAGTTTTTTCAAAGGTACCATCTTTCCCTGGTGCTTGGTTTTCACTGTCACTTTGGTTTCACCCAAACTGAATAAATTTAAGTTATACATATGTTAATAGACATAGGACACTATCTGGAAATAAACAAAATATTAGTGTCATTATTTCTGGGTGGTAGAGTTATAGGATTGTTATTGCCTTCTTTTAAAAATCTATAGCTTCTATTTTTCTACAATAAATACATATTATAACTTGTGTAATAAAAATCACAAATTTCTTTTAAATATAGATACACAACAAAGAAAGTAAATCAGCCATAATCCTACCACCTAGCACGGATACATCTTACATATCAATATCCTTTCTTTTAAAATTTATGACAAAAATGAACTCCTACTCGACATATTATTAATTTTCTTATAGTCACTGTCCTTTCTCTCTTCCCAGCATCACACTCCTAGCTTCTTCCAGGTTCTCAAGCAAATAACGCACATAAAGTGATTCTCAAGGAACCACCGCTCTTACCGCAGGCCCTTATGACACAGTGACCCTATCTGGCAAGGACGGACGTGAAAAGGTGCATTTAGCTAAAGGCTGAGTCAGATGTTGTTCTAGTCTGTGCCTAGGAATCTGATTTCCTTTATTCTTGCCCTCATTCTAACTCTTTATACCAAGGGTAAAAAAGGAGTGCAATTAGAATAATTTTATAGTAGGTCATGTTACTAAAAAATGAGTATTGGTAGAATTATGTGCTCTTGCAGTGTCTCTTATCATAACCTGTGATAATAGTAACAATAAATGTATGTGGAATGGATGTATGTTGAATGGATGCATTCAGCAGCGATTTGAGTTTGCAACACACTTCACAGTTTGTAAAGTTCTTCCGCCCTTATTTTCTCATCTGACGTCACGAGGATCCTATGAAACCTTCATGGACTCTTGTACTCCATTCTGGCAACCAAAGAAGCCAAGGCAAAGCAGCTTGACCAGGATGACACACCTACTGAGGGTTAAAGCTGGCATTTGAACCCAGCTCTGTTTAACCTCACAGCCTGGATCATTCCATCAGGACTCTGCCCATCTGTCCTCTGTGAAGAGGGTTCGTCTCTGGGGCTTAAGAATGTATAGGCCTGAGCCTCCCGATATGGTTGCTACGTGAGGCTATTAAGTACTGGAAACAGGGCTGGTCTGATGTGAAATGTGCTGTAAGTGTAAATTACACATCCAGTTTTGAAGACTTATTATGAAAAGAGAAATGTAAAATACCTCATTAATAACTTGTATATTATCAAATATTACAAATTGGCTTGATAGTAACTTGGACATATCAGCTTAAGTACATTATTAAAATTAATTTCACCTGTTTCTCTTTTTAACGTGGCTACCAGGACATTTAAAATCACACGTGCAGCTGACATTATGTCTCTACTGGACAGCGCTGATCTAAGCGGTCACCACTGTTCTTTTGATGACGGCTCCCAGGGGCTAGGTCCAGGCTCAGAAAGGGGAGAGTTTGCCCCTCCTGGGTTGGGGGAGCTGTACTAAGTTTATCACGTGACTGTACAAGTAACACTACCTAAGGCAGCTGAAGGCACAGGTGCCAGAGATACAAAGTACAGGTGTAGAGGCCTAACAATGTCTGTATGGGAAGCCCCGAAACCGAAGCTGTGAGACTTTTAAGGAGACCTCGAGCTCAACTGGGTGGCTTGTGGGGTCCCGGCTCACGGCAGCAGGAGGTCTCAATCTCCTGGCCCCAGGCCCCCGATCAGCATTGTGCCGTGACCTGTTTGGGCTTTGGTTTGTGGGATGGAGTTTCTTCGAGAACCCCAAAACAAGGAGATGATAAGGGCGGTATCCTTTACACAGAGCTGCCACTTTCTGGCACCTGCCCTGAGATCTCTTTTCTGTATGAAATTACATCGGTGAGCCCAGCCCAAATTCCAGCTTGGAAACTGACGCTGATCGTGCCCTCTGGCGGCTCTGCATTCTCGGAGCGAACGCCTTGTTTTTAAACATGGCCTGGCCTCTGCCCTGGCAGGGACATCCTGGACTCAGGGCCCTGGGAAACAGGAGCGCAGGGCCCTGCTCTCCCAGGTGGGGAAACCACGGGACCAAGGGAAAATGATGAGCCCAGGGTGTGAGGACCTGGGGGGTGAGCCAGGCTTGAAGTGTCCCCAAGAGGGTCAGGCGCCCAGTGCTCATGAGATGCCAGCCCCATACCCCAGCGTTTGGGCTCTACCGACGGCCATGGGCCTGGGAGCAGAAGGCGGTGGGGCTCTGCCATCAGGGTGGCATTTTGGAGCAACCGCCAGACCCAAGGCACTCATGGGCCTACTTGCCCTTTATTGAATTGCTTTTAAAACTTCATATTTTTAGCCCATCTCCTGAGAGGAGGGGGCTTTTTTTTTTTTTAAATAATAGAAGCTATTGTTTTTATTTATTTTTTTTAATTAAAAAAATTTTTTTTTCTTTTAAAAAATATTTATTTATTTATTTATGGCTGCATTGGGTCTTCGTTGCTGCGCGCAGGCTTTCTCTAGTTGTGGTGAGCGGGGGCTACTCTTTTTTTTTGTGGTACGCGGACCACAGGCTCCGGATGCACAGGCTCAGCGGCCATGGCTCACGGGCCCAGCCGCTCCGCGGCATGTGGATCCCGGACCGGGGCACGAACCCGCGTCCCCTGCATCAGCCGGCGGACTCTCAGCCACTGCGCCACCAGGGAAGCCCGGGGGCTACTCTTCGTTGCAGCGCACGGGCTTCTCATTGCGGTGGCTTCTCTTCTCTGTTGCGGAACACGGGCTCTAGGTGCGTGGGCTTCAGTAGTCGTGGCGTGTGGGATCAGAAGTTGTGGCTTGCGGGCTCTAGAGCGCAGGCTCAGTAGTTGTGGCGCACGGGCTTAGCTGCTCCGTGGCATGTGGGATCTTCCCGGACCAGGGCTCGAACCCGTGTCCCCTGCCTTGGCAGGTGGATTCTCAACCACTGCGCCACCAGGGAAGTCTGAGGAGGGGCTTTCATAAAACCAGACATCCTTTTTATTTTAGGCTTATCCCTTTCAAACTTCAGGGAGCAAACTCCGAGATTAGTCATACAAGTACTATGGCTACAGCGGGGTCTAAGGCTGCGATGGCCAGGCTTCTGCCTACATTTGAGGCGACAGGGGTGGGTGTGGGCCTGTAGGGTGATACCTGCATCTAATTTATTTTTTTTAAGTTGAGTCGATTGTCAATGTTTAAAAATCAGGAGAGTTTATGTTAGGTCCAGATTTCTGGCTTCTCTTGGAAAAAATCTGAATATCTGGCAACACTGGACCCCATCCCTACAAGGCAACACTTGGCTGTGCTGAATAACAGCTGTCCCCTTAGCCAGGGTGTGGCTCTCCTGGAGGCATGTGAGTTTCAGCCACCTGCATGCATCCTCTCTCCAAGCTTCCTCTGTCCCCACTCCTGCTACTTAGCTCTTCTCTCAGCCCCGGCACTGGCCCCGCCAGCCACCCCATGGACCCCCAGCTGGGGGCAGCCAATCTCAGTGGCATCAGCTGGCCCGCCCTGCTCTCCCCTCCTCACCTTCACCGAGTAGGCCAGTGAGATGGTGACAGCCAGAGGGAGCCCCTCGGGCACGGCGACCACCAGCACCGTCACACCAATGATGAAGAACTTGACGAAGTACTGCACATAGACGGGCGTGCACTCGGGCAGCCATGGCTTCTGGTTGACCACGAAGGTGTCCACGGTGAAGTAGAGCACCAGGATGATCACCGTGATGGCTGACATCACCAGACCTGTGACACGGGTGGGAGGAGACCTGTCAGGGGATTTCCTGGGGGTGCGGGGCCCCGGGAAGGGAGATGTGGACCAAAACCTTGGCTCAAAGGGCTCTGGGGTCAGGCAGGCCCTAGCTTACACCCCAGCTCAGCTTGGTAGCGTGGGGCAAGTCCTTAATCCTCAAAGAGCCTCAGTTTCTTCCTCTGTACAATGGGGATGCATATTTATTTCACATGGTTTTGTAAGGATCAAATGTGATGAATACATGTAAATTGCCTAGCACAGTGCCCGACGCAGAGTAGGTGCTGAGTGATCATGTGAATCAGTAACTGCTTGCACGGTGCCCTCACACAACAGGATGTGCAGAGGGTACCACTTACTTCCTCCTGCCTTCACGTACATACTCTTTCCTATTCCAGGAACTAGGGACACAGCAGTAAAGAGGACAGAGTCCCTTTCAGCCCTTGGGAAGCTGAGATTCTAGGGGGGGAGGCAGACAAGAAACAAACACACGAACAAGATAATTCAGATACAGATAACGCTGTCAAGAAAAACTCCAGGATGACGTGGTAGGAAGTGACATGGGCTGAAGATACGAAAACAACCCAAATGTCCATTGACAGATGAATGGATAAAGAAAATGTGGGCTACACGTACAATGGAATATTATCCCGCTTTAAAAAGAAGGAAATCCTGCCATTTGCAACAACGTGGCTGGACCTGAAGGGCGTTATGCTCCGTAAAATAAGCCAGACACAGGAGGACTTATCTGAATAATCTAAAAGAGTCAAACCCATAGAAGCAGAGAATAGAAGGGAGGTTGCCAGGGGCTGCACGGAGGGGAAAAGGAGCGTTGTTTTTAGTGGGGAAAAAGTTTCAGTTATGCAAGATGAGAAAGTTCTAGAGCTCTGCCGTATAGCATAGCGCCGATAGTTTAACAACGCGGTATTGTGCACTTCATAATTGCTTAAGAGGATCTTATGTGTTCTTACCAAAAACACAAAAACCGAAAAACCCATGAAAGAACACAAGGGAATTTTTGGAGGTGGTGGATAGGTTTAGTACCTTGGTTGTGGTGACTGGTATCATGGGCATATGCATATGTGGAAACTCATCATGTGTGCATTAAACGTGTGCAATTTTTTAATATATAAATTATACCTTAATAAAACTAAAAAGAAAAAGAAAACAAATGCGACATGGCCTGGTAGATCCAGTGGCTACTTTAGCTAGGGTGGCCAGGGAAGACTTCCTGGAGGAGGTGATATTTGAGCAGACAGAGGAACGATGAGCAGCCAGGTAGTGACCTGGGGGAAGGGTGTTCCAGGCTGAGGAAACAGCAGGGGCTCGGGGAGGGGAAGTGACTTGCCCGAGGCCACAGGCCAGGGAGGCACTGTAGAATTAGCACCTGCAGGTGGCTACTGGCTGCTGGCAGGATCTCTCTTGCCAGCCCCGTGCGCCCAACTACCCCCAACTGCTGCATGTGCTGTACAGCTGCCGCTGAGGCTGCCCACACCTGAAGCCTCTGCAGAGGAGGATGATGTTTGGGCAACTGGCGTCTCCTTGTCACAAAGTGCCTGGGAGTCCACCCACCCCAATTTGATGGCCAATATCCAATGGCTGAGGTGGAGGTCCAGAAGCCCAGACACCTTGCTGCAGGGCAGGTCAGACCCTGCAGAGGTACCATGCTCCACAGCTCCCTGTAAGATCAGGTGGAGACTGAGATTCCTCCAGAAACCCCGGCTGCCTGTGCTTCCTCCTGGGCTCTGTTGCATCCCTGACCCTTTACTGGTCTCGCCTGAGAGCACCCCGCCAGATCCTGTGCCCACCCATCTCAGGTTCTGCTTTCAAGGAATTCAGCCCAGGAGAGAAGCGGAGGTGGGACGTGAACCAGAAGTGCTCGACTCTGAACTCCATGCCCGGCAGGGCTGAGTAGGGGAGGGAGATGAGTGAGGACTGTGAAGGCCACGGGGTGGTTCTCGTCGCTTTGTTCCCTGCCCTCCAGAGCCACGTTTCCGTGGAGTTGTCTCCGTGGCGGGGATGGAGGAAATCCCTGGACCCATCACTGCCCCGCCCGCACCGCCAGCTGCGGAGACCCAGAGCCGGCTCGATCCCTGTCTGACAGTTGCAGAGGCGGGAAGCCAAGCTCCCGGCAGCTGGGAGCTGTCATCAGGCCCCCAAGTTTAAATATAGACAGTCAAGCCTGTAATTTGCCTCTTTTCTCCACGCTGTGGTGCCTATAATTAGAGCCGGGAGACAGCCATGGAGGAGCAGGCAGCCAGGTGGGGAGGCCTTGGCATCTGCCACATCCTTACCCGGGAGGGGAGGCCAAGGCCGTGTCAGGGCTGCAGGGCTCACCTTGCTTCCGGGCTTGGCTTCCAGGGCAAGAGGGGCCGTCATCAGCCATCACCTGCAGCTACTAACTCGGGAAACCCGGCTTCTGCTGGGCCTCAAACAAGGGGCTTCTCACCGGGCTCCTGGCACTGCCCTCTACTTCTTCAGTCTTTCCTCTGCACGGCAGCTGGGCGGTCATCATACAGCTCAACTCCATCCCTGCCCTCCCCTGCTCACACCTCTTCCAGGGCTCCCACTGTCCTCAGAATAAAGCCTGCATTGCAAACTCCAGGCCCTACAGGGTCTGCCCCCTGTGCAGCCACCGCACCTGCCAAACGCTGGCGCCTGTACGGGTAGATAATCTCCTTTACTCCTCATAGCAACCTGTGAAGTAGGGACTACGGGATCCCAAGTCCACAGACCAGGAGGCGGAGGCTCAGAGCTCGGTGAAGGTACCTGCCCAAGTTCTCAGAGCTGTAGCTGGACGAGGACACAGGCAGGCTGCCCCCAGAGCCCACGCTTCTACCTTCACTCTTCTGCCTAAGTGCGAACTGAGTGCCTACTGTATAAGGACTCAGACTGGTTTTGTGGCAGAGAAGGTGGGTCTCATGCAAGCCCTCGCTTTGCAGAGGAGGTAACTGAGGCCCAGGTGTAGGGGCAGGGCCCTGCCTGGGGTCCCCCTGCATGCCCCGTGTCCTGTGCCATCTCCCGGGGCCGCGTGCTCACCCGCCTTGCCGATCTGCACAGCCAGCTTGGTGAGCTTGCCCTGCAGCACCGACTTCTCCTTCTTGTGCATGCTGGCCTTCTTCTTGTCGTCAGTGTCGCCGCCCTCGGCACTCTTGAGGGGCTGCATCTCCATGGCGGCCGCCCCGTCCTGCTGTTTGGCTGCAGGGGGCAGAGCACACGTGCACACACACAGACACAGACACACAGACACACACAGACACACACACACACACACAGGTTAGCCTGCAGGGTGGGGATGTTGGCACCCACCCAACTGCCCAGCAGAGCACGGTGAGGCCCTCACTCCCCAGCCTGGGCCCTGGCATGGCTGGCACACAATCCCCGTGATGGGGGGTTGGTTTCTTCCTGCTGGAGACCCTGGTCCCAGGGCCACTGGCTGCCTTGCACCTGGAATTCAGGACATAGCAGGGAGTGACACGGCTCCACCCTGGATTTCCAGCAGGAGTGGGCTAGGGTCCCCTCTGGGCCTGAACAAGCCCGCAGACCCTTCCCCCAATGGCTCTTCAACTTCTCCACATTCAGACAAGACACAGGCTTGGGCTTTGCCCAGTTGGTCCTTGGGCCATGTTGCTGGATATTAAGTAGTCACTAGACAGAAGGGACACAAAGGGGGCTTCAAGAGTAGAAGAGAGTGTCCCCATCCACAGGTGTCAAGCTCCTCCCCCTTCAGCACAGGCCCGTGGCCTGACAGGACAGCACAGGGCCTGCGGCCTGACCCCTTAGCCCCTAAAGACCTCAAAGACCCAATTTCAAGTCTTCAGCTGAATGGGCAGCATAGCTCAAAGGCTGGGGAGAAGCTGGCTTGTGGTGGCCTGTCCTCAACGGGTAATGCCTCCATTTGACCTGGCACCATGTGATCACAGCTACCCCCTCCCCCCAAAGGTGTCAGGCGCCCATAGGCATGGACGTCTGCCTCTGCTGTGGCCCTCAGAACCGGCGGGGAGGGGCCGCAGGGACCACAGGTTAATACAAAAGGGTTACCTTTGCTCTGGCTGGCGTCCACATTGCCATCCTGCATTTTACCTATACGACAAAGAATTTTAACAGACAACAGAGAATCAGACAACACACGTTGGTCACCATGAAGACGCAACAGGGCCACAGACATTCATGTCAGATGGAGGGAGGGCCAAGCCGGCTCCGCCCTTCTGTGCAGGGACGCCGGGGAGGCCCCCGAGACAAGAGCAAACCCGTGGTGGCTGCAGGCTTTCCCTTGATTCTCTGGGGCACAGAGAGAGCGCTTCTGGGATTATTTTGGCCCTAAGCATTTTACAGACTAACCAGCAGCCTTTGAGGGTAAAGGAACCATAGTTGGTTGGCAGGAAGCAGAAGGAGTGGGAGATCTAAGGTCCCCAGTGATTAATGTGGAATTTGGTTGGTGCCTTTAGTGGGCTGAGAGGAGGCAAAGGGAAAGATGAGAGAGAGAGAGAGAGAGAGAGAGGGAGGGAGGGAGAGAGAGAGAGGTTGATTCTAGGATGGGTAGGAGTTTGGTCAATGTGTCCTTAGTTTCTGGCTCCAGGAGGGATGATTCCACTTTCTGCTTCTCCTGGTGAAGGGGTGTGAAGCCACAACATGGAGAAACCCCCACCCAGCCTCACTGAGAGTGACTCAGGCAAAGGGTGGGCAGGGGCTCCCCAGTGGTGGGCTCTGAGGTGCCCACACGTGTCCAGGGGCCTGGTGGCAGTGCCCTGGCTCCCAAGGGGAAGCTGCCTACCCCTCCCCTCCACTGAGCTGCGTGCTCTTTATTCTGGGTTGACCAGCTCAGGCCACAGCAGGCAGGTGAAGTCTGGCTGATGGGATCCCCTGGGTGCCCCCAGCCCCCCACCCCAGCCCTGCCTATCAGGGACAGATGCTGCCTAGTGCTGGGTCTGGGGCTCCCCACCCCCTAATCAGGGCCGCCGGGGAGGCCGCCTACCCAGTCTCAGCCCAAGGCGCGTGGCCTGCATTCACAGGGTAGGAGGTATTGGTGACCTGTTGCCTGGCAGCCAGACACCTGTCTTCACTTGCTGGCACTGCAGGGGTCGGGGGGCACCCTCCTGTCCCACGGGCTCACCCTGAGGACTCTGAGAAGGGTGCCCCCAGCCCCAGCCGTTTGCTGAGAACGAGATTTTCACAGCTCATGTTCCAGGCGCATACATGACCACCACAGTTTCATCTGGGCCTCACCACATCCCTACCGGGCCGCTCCAGATCACACCCACTGACGATGAAAAACTGCGGCTCAGGGAGGGACACGCAGCAGGGTCTCTGCCAGGTCTCAGCTGGTAAATGGAGAGCTGGCCCCAAAGTCCATGCACATTTCTGCCCCCATCGGGGAGAATGCAGCCACCCTCAGTCCCCCGAGCCAGGGGGAGGGCAGGTGTTGAGGCGGCACTGGTGGGACTGGGCTCCTGAAGCTGCTGTTTTGAAACCAACTAGCCGTGTGGCTTCACCTCTCCCAGCCTCGCTTCCATCTCTGTGACCAGGGGTGGCCACATCGCCTCCCCGGAGCTCCTAAAAGTTGCCTTAGTGACAACCGCTCGCCCAGCAGCCTTTGGCACTTTGCAAGTGTCTCCGATCTTGGCAGTTTTCCTGATACCCTGCAAGGTGGGGCGGGAGGGGTTTTCATCACTCTTATTTTACAGATGAGGAAACTGGGGCCGAGGGAGGTTCAGAGGCAGCAGTCATTTATAGAGCATCCTGATGACTGTCCTGAGGCTGCGTGAGAAGTTCAATAAACACTGTCATCCCCACCACCATATCCGTCATAGGTGACTCGGAGGGGAGAAGTGGCTTCCTGGATGCCAGCCCCGCACCATCACTCCAAGGTCAGTGCAGGGCTGTTCCCACTGCCTCTCCCAGCGAAGGGTCAGTGACCCGCCCCGGGGTTTAAAGAGAAAAGTCCCCGTTGCTCTATTGTAAAATTCTTTCTACTGGATTAGAAACAAAACAGAAAAAGGCGTTTTGGAACCAATAGGAATTAACTACAATAATTATTTTTATTTTTAAAAATAATTTTACTAACTGGGCTAAAGGGCACCAGAGGACTCCTCTTCAGTAGTCTGGTGTTAGATGGCACAAAGGGGCCTCTATCTGCATTGCATATTATCAGATGCAATAGCCCGCATGTGCCCAGCAACCAAGCTAGCAATTTCCTCTTTTATTTGCATAGTGACCACACGGCCAGAAAAATAATCAACAAAGCGTATGTTTGAGGGAGGGAGCCATATCCTGGGGGTGCTTTGGTGCAGATGGCCTGGCTTCTCAGAAGCAAGCGACTCATCTGGGGTTCTCCTCAGCCAGATGGGTGCTCGCCTGGCCCTGGAACTGTGGTGGGACGTTGCTTTGGTCCCCCATGGGACGTGGAAGATGGGCTGTGATTCGGGGGAGCTGAGATGGAGGACAGGACCCAAGATGGGGAACCGGGGTGGAGACCTGGAGGCCCCTCTGTATCAGAGGCTAGATGTAGCTTTGCCAAATGGGTCTGTCCTCTCCATGCACTGTGAGGGTCATGGGTGCAGAAAGCTTCGATGTGGAAGGTCCACGGTGAGAAGACCCGGTCCTAAATAGGAGACCTGGGAGGTGTCACTTCCCTTCCCTGTGCCTCTGTTTCTCTCTCTGTGAAAAACAACACTTTCAACCAAGGTGATGCTTATGAAAAGCACTGCAAAGTACCTTGTTAATGTCCAGAGTTAAGAGTGATGTATAATTAATTGTGATGTATTCTATAGTGATATATCAATAAATATAAAAGAAATAATAAAATAAAAATGGCAATTATAATGCCTCCAAAATGAATGGAACACCCCTACCTTTCAGTTGGGAGGGGCTTGGGGGAGTGGAGTGAGGGGGGCATCCTGCCACCTGAGTGTGTTTTCCACATCCAGGTCGTCCTGATTTGGCTCAGACGAAGGAGGGGAAAGGAACAGTTAATTCTCTCACTCACCAAGGCTCAGCTTAGCACCCCTCAGCCTTTAGTGCACTCTGCCTGGAGCCTGGAAAGCACGTTAGAACGCAGGTTCTCATTCAGGTCTGGGTGGGGCCTGAGATTCTGCATTTCTAACAAACTCCTGGGAGATGCCCAGGCTTCTGGTCCTCCGACCACAATTCAAGTAGCAAAAGCTTAGAGTACTGGTTCCAAAGTATAGTTTGGGGGCCTACCAATCCCATGACATTCAGCCAGGACACAGCACAATCAAGGCTGTCCCTCTGCAACAAGGAAGAAAGCAGTTTTACCCAGTGGGTTCTTAAACACCCTTGACCACAGGAATCCTTTCCTTGGGCAGGGGCGTTGGTGGTGGGGAAGACTTCTTAACATCCTTGTGAAGTTTACAAGACATTAGCAAGAGTGGCACACACTTTCGAGCCAGGCAGGCCTGGGTTCACATCCCAGCTTTGCTACTTTCTAGCTCTGTGACGTTGGACTAGTGTCTTGATCTCCCTGAGGCTCAGTTTCCTCATCTTTAAAGTGGGGACAAAAACCTCTGAATCACAGGGTTATTGTGAGGATTCAATGAGATGCTTGCAAAGTGCCTGGTGCGCAGGAGGTGGTTAAGGAATGACAGTTCCCCGTCTTTTCCTGCAGCTTTTCTTGGGACACTTGGAGTTTTCTGCTACAGTTGCAAGTGAGGCTGCCCCTTTTTTGGGACCCATTAGTCTGGATGTGGTCTATATGTTCCCCGAGCCCAGCAGGCTTGTCATCCTGGGGGAAGCAGGATGCCACTTCCCGTTTCCTCCCTGCCACCCCCCAGCCCCCCACGTGGGTTTGCCTACTTTGGTTCTTCCTGTTATCTCTCGCCACCCCTCCCTCACACATGACACCTCCCACACCTCAGGCTGTCCTGATTTCTCCTCCTGTGCCTGAAATAGACCCATACCCGAATTAGCCCTTCTTGGCGAGGCCCTGCTCACAGAGCAGTCTTGCCCAGCCCCTGACATCTACGGTGTGTGTGTGGGGTGCTTCCATCTTTGGTCACTTTGAATCCGGGTGGCTCAGCCAGAGGTCTAGGGCAGGGGACGGGAGGATGAGGCGGGACCAGAGCTCCATGTTTTCCAGGAGTGGTGAAGAGTAAATGATATAATGGATGAGAAACCCGCAGCCAGAGATGCCTGGGATGCGTGACGCTGGAGAAAAGAAAACTTTCCTTCCCCTTCAGTTCTCCAGGGCAACGGTTTCACGACCAAGCCCTAACAGCTCCCAGGAGCAGTCTGGGTGACTTTACGTCACCTAATTTGGGTACGGGGACGTATCTGAGAAGATGGGAGGGTACAGAGATAAGAAATCTTGGAGGCAAATGAATGGAATTCCTTCCTGCCTGTGTGTCAGGAGGTTAAGATGCAGCTCCCAGGTACAGTGGCAGCCCTCTGCCCCCACCACTCATCCCCGAGGAGGCCAGTAAGAATGCAGAGACTCAGAACAAACGCTCCAGCACAGGCAACAGCAAGAAACACCAGTCCACATCCCAGGGGCAGAACCAGGCCCGAGCCCAAGCGAACCCCCGGCCCGTTCGCTCCGTGAGAGAGAAGAGAAAGAACGTCTACTAGTGGCTCAGCCATGCTACGGGGTGGGGTCCAGGAGCTGAGCTCTGGCCTGGGTCCCCCTGCCTCGAGGGAACTGGCGAATCGAGGACCGGAGCCTTCAGTGGGGACCCAGACGCCAGCTTCAGCCTAGGTCCTGACCCCGGGCCTTCTTCCCAAAGCCGGGGCCAGGAACGGGCTTAGGAGAGGGCCACGCCGGGTGGGACGCTGCTTCTTGGGGGGCCAGATCTGAAGCCAAGGTCACGTCCCTCTTCCGGGCTTCACCGGGGGTCAAGGGCCCAACAGGAGCCAGTGCCGTCGTGGCAGCCATGAGTGGGGGCAGAGCTGGATCCCCGGTGGTGGCTTCTCTCTTAAGCGCCTGCCCCGTGTGAGAGGACGACCGTCCCCGAGCTGCCCATGCACATCCAAGTCTGTGCCGTCCAGACTAGGGAGAGGCAAGCCCAGAGTTGAGGGTGCGGGAGACGCCCATCCAACCGAGACCGAGAGCTCGCCCTGGGAGTGGGACACGTACCATTGACTAGGCTGGTATTTGCACTATCTGCAGCATTTGAACCTGCCGCACCATCGGCCGCTGCGGGGGTGGGAGGGATGGAAAATGCAGTGTGTCACAATGGAGAAAAGCAACAACGCAGGACAGCAACAACAATCGACATGAACCAACTTGCGGGAAATAAGATGACTACATTCTTAAAAAAACATCTCCGTTGGAGATCAAGAAACTCAGATTTGGGGGTGGAGGTGAAATGTTCCCATAGAGATGCCACAGAAGTCGGGGGGAAAAACTCAGACGTGGAGGGTCTTTGAAATAAAATATGGAGGATGATCAATGTGGTTACGCGGGGTGGCACTGCTGGTGGTGAGGTTCCGGACTGAGGCACCCCGTTGGCCCAAGCAATCAGGCGGGTGCCTTTCAGACAGGGTTCTAGGAGAGGGTCTGGCTGACCATCAGGGCCAGCGGCGCTCATGGCCAGGAGTCGATTCAAAATATTCAGCGAGCAGTGCAGTGCGGGCACTGGCCGTTCTGAAGGGGTGCTTGCTATGACCATTGCTGTGTCCCGGAAGAACGTCCGTCCACGGCAGTGACTTAGGATTCATGCCCTTGACTCAGGCTACTGCCCATGGCCAACTCCTCCTTCCCTAACCGGCACTCAAAAGATCGCCTTGGTGACCCCCATAGCAGGTGCCCCACCACTTAAAAGGTGACATCAACCATGTGGTATTTTGTGCGTGAGACAGAGAAGGTACTAGTGAGTTTTCCTTAAGTTAGGAATCAAAAATGATAGGATGTGCTCCAATTCACTCTTGCTGCTTTTTCTTGGGGTGGGGAAACGGGTTCTGCGGGAAGGAGAGGGAAGAGATGCTGGGTAAGGTGGCTGTGCTGTGAGGCGAGGGCAAGGTGGGACGGGCTCTGTGGGGTCATGGGGTGCTGAGCGGGCTGAGGGCGTGTGGAGGTGGTGGCGGTACCATCTGCACTGAAAGCCCTGGAAGGTAGGCAGACCGGGAGTGCACGGGGGCACAGTAGAGGTCTGGTGGGGCAGAGCCCCCTGCAGTCAGGTACCCCCTTTGGCTGTGTGCTGGGGATCTAGGGCCAGGGCTCAGGGGTCAATGGCTGCTGCTACTTCTAAAACCCCATCTACCCTGAGGAGCGTCTTACTGTACCTGGTAGCTGAAGGCCATCCCCCTTCTTCACACCTGTGTGATGATTTTTGAGACATGTTAATGAAGGAGAAGCACATACAGCCTTTTGTGTGTGCACGCGCACACACACACGCACACGCACACACACACACCGGTACGCCTGGGGTCATCCTGAAACGGGAGGCTCTAAGCAATGTCCCTGGTGGAGGTGATGGAATGGAAGTGCCGAGGAGGTCCAGCCTGGCTGTGCTGCTCATGGGGGCCTGAGGGGCTGGGCTGGCCTCCCAGATTCCTCTGTCACGTCCCCTGCACATCCCACCTCTTCCTTCTACACTGATGTCCCCATCTCGTTGGAGTGCAGGTAAATGTTCAGCAAGGGACTGACCTGTGCTTTGGGGCAGAAGAGGCCTGTTTTTTTACTGGCATTTTAAGAAACACCGGTCTGGCCCATGGGAGCTTCTGGGTGCTTGTGCCCCTCACCCAGGCCCCAGTGAGGCCAAGGAAGTGGGCAAAGCTGCTGCAGCCTGCCCAACTGCCCGCACCTGGGGCCACAGCTGGCCACAGCTGCTACGGCATTGCGCGGACGCTGTCCTGATGTGCTCCGGGCCTCTTGGCCAAGACTTGGTCCTCAGTCTCAACCTCAGCTCTCCCAGATCACAGCTTATTTCCATTGCTGCTGGATGGGCCATCGTAATCTTAGGGGTACCCCACCAGGAAACGGGTTTTGCCCCTGGGAACAAGTATCCTTTGATCGTGACCCAGACTTGGTGCCTGGCTGACCTCTGGAGGGAGGCTGGCTGCCCCTAAAACTGAAGGAGGGGTCATCTATTATCTCATCTCCTTCCCCTGGACTCCAGAAGGTCTGGGTATTGGGCGCCTCCTCTGGAGCTTGGGGAAGGAGACAGAAGACTGCAGATGTGAGAGTGGGGGGTGTCCCCGAGACCGAGTGTGAGTGTCGGGAAAGTAGTCAGCTGTTCTGGGCCAGAGGCTGGGCCTTGGATTTGGGCCTGGTCTGATGGGATTGGGGCTCATGTTTTCCAACCACCCCTCCTCTGCTCTGAGAGGCAGCTGTAGCCCAGGCCGACAACCTGCTGCACCAAGGGCAGCCCATGGAGTGAGGAATCTTGTTTGCAGGGGGAGGAGGAGACAGAACCCAGCTGAGATGGCAGCTCTGGGGACAATGGGGAGAGGCTCACAGCAGTTGATTTGCAGGTACACATTTGGCCACCTTCCCCAGAAGACCCACCTCTGGGGAGAGTCTATACTGGGTGAGTGTGCAGCTCTGCTTAGTGGAGTTGAGAATAGTGGAGGAATTCGCCCAGGTGGGGATTTCTATGCAATATCAGGGGTGATGATGGTAACAGGTCACACTTGAGGCTGGAGACTCAAGAAAAGGCTCAGCCCCCTTGGCCTGGCCCAGGGGGAAGGGGGGCCCCCCATGACATGACTGGACAAGACAGAGACTGGAACGAGACCCTGGAGATGGAACAGACAGAGCCTCCTGGCCCAAGAAGGGCCTTGGGGTTACAGGAGGAAGCTGTTGGCACAGGGTATGGACATAAAAGGCACTCAATAACTATTTTGTCTAGTGAATGAGTCAACAACAAAAAAAATGTGGCCTTAAGAGCTCCTTTTCTGGTCCACAAGAGCGTTGGGCTTACCTTTCTTGTCCTTCTTCTCTTCCTCCTCACCGCCGGCCCCCAGCAGGGTAAAGATGATGCCGGTCTGAGAGTTCACACCCACGGCGGTCACCACCATCCGTCCAGAGCCCTCCATCACATGAGTCCCTGGGGAAGGGGACGAAAGCCAAGTTACCATTGCACGGCCCAAGCCCCCTCCCGCAAGGAGCGGAAGGCACTCGGTCTCAGTTGACTCGAGGCAATTTGCCTGCTGAGGTCCTAGGGCACCACCTACAGTTAAGGTTCAAGGTGTGTGCTCAAGGTGGGTCCTTTAAAGATGATTTCACCTTGGGATAGTGCTGTGATGGGCCTGGAGCTCAAACACTGCTATACCTCAATTCTTAGGCCCCCAGAAAGCTCAGGCCTACCACCTCCTACCTGCTCCTAGAGAATCCCTTCTTCTCTCCTCTCTTTCCCCTTCCCCCTCTCCCAGTCTTACGGGCCAAGCAGGGACCACTCCCTCTTTTCCTTAATGATATATCTAGAACCAGACCTTGCTCTGCAACCAGCAAAAAAAAAAAAAAAAAATGCCAACTAAGCCCTGGACTGGACTGCTTAAAATGGGGTCCACCAACTTCCCAAAGATCTGGGGAAAGAATTCAGGGCTCTATGAAGCTGAATGAGAAAACAATGACCTCTTTATTTTCACAAACATCAAACTGAAATTTCGCATTTCCCCCTATTAAGAACATAGGCAATAAACCCCAGGAGTGTCAGTGGTGGCCACAACACCATTACATATGTTACAGAAATCATGGGTTTTTTTTTAATATCACTTTATAGCTGTTGCAGATACTTTTTAGGCTTATCCTTATTTTACAACTAAGGCAATTATTACACTGACTGCTGGATCTTGTTATTCTAATAAAGAAGCACATATGTTACTACACCACACATTAATTCTTTTTTAATTACTTTAACTATTTCAATCTAATTGGCTTCCTTTGTGATCCAGTGTATTTTATTTTATGTATTTCAAAGCTTTATTCTGAATAGGGGTGGCCCATGATGACCTCAGACCTCCCCAGGGGTCTGCGGTGCAAGAAAAGTTAAGAACTCCTTTCCTAGAATTTTAGATTTTTAAAACTGGGTTCCAAAGGGTCCTGGAATTCTTTCAGGGGGCAGGATGGGGCAAGGGAGGCCTTTGGTCAGAGTGGCCCCAAGTTTATTCATCTTTGGGGTTTCTGTGTCAGCTTTTATTTGACAAGAGGGCACTCTGCTGAGTAAAGAATCTAGATAAATGAAGTTTGGCCGGTCAGGTGTTCCTTTTTTCCGATTTCCATTTTTACCGCTCTGGCTAGAAAGCTCTCTACAATGCAGCAAACAGTTTCTCCTTCAGCAGAGAACTAACAGTCCAATCCTGCCTGGTGCAGGGTCTCCGGCCATCCCCAGGCTGCACAGGAAGAGCTATACCTGGTCTACCAGACAGACGGCCACGGCCACTGACCCCAGCCACTACACGGCCCTGATGACTTGCTTCTTGAACTCCTTCTGCTGTTGAGAGATTTTCCTTCTTTCCCCTCAAGATCATGGTCATTTCCTCCTGTTTTCAGGCTCACTTGTCACTGATGGCCTTCTCCTGGCCTCCCACTTTGCTTCAGACTTGAAGTCTAGGTGGACAAACTCATTAGGATTGTATCTAAAATAAGAGTCAAGAGGTTCTGAGTCAGGGCAAGAAGCACTTTCCTTAAAGCAAGGAATCTCTTTTCACTTTTCAAGAGGTTTCACCCACCCCTTCCCTTTCCTTCTGGGATCTGAGAGATGTCCTGAGACTGTGTGTGTGTTTGCACACATGCCTGTGTGCGTGTGCATGTGTGGTGTTCCAGCCTCTTGGCCTCCAGGATCTCGGGATCTTAAAGTGCTTTACAGACAGACAGATGCCCTCCAGTAAGCTCCTTTGAGGTGGTAAAGGTTGGTCTGTCCATCCATGATGGGTAAACCAAGTCATGAAGGCTCCCAGAGGCAGCATGGAGCCCAGCAAGCTGTACCAGGACCTGGACTCTCAGGGGGTGAGCTCCTCAGCTGGTTCTTTACCCATTCCCAGCCTCTTCGGTCCCCGAGCCGGGCACAGTGGGGACCACAGAATGAGCTCGGACACTAACTCCAGGCCGATCAGCCCAGGCCTGGTGTCTTCCCGTCACAGACAGACTCTGAAGCACACGTACCCCACAGGGGGCACAAACAGGGAGAATCTGGGCCCAACTATGGGACTCTGGGAGCTACAATAATTTGCTGACAAAATGCTTTCTCATGCACGGGCTCAGCTTGTGTGGGAGCTGGCAGGATGGACTGTTAAATACCAGAGTATTAGAGGAGGAAACTGAGGCCCAGAGAGGTCACACGTGGGTGAGGGTGGGGTCACTGTAGATCTTTAAAGGTGAGGGCTGAACACACTTCAGTGCACTCACAGGGCGTAGATGGCAGGGACAGCAACCAGTGCTACCTTCTGTAGCACACCTACTCCGCTCCAGGCTTTGTGCCCTAACCCTAACCCTAACCCTTCACACGCAGTCATCTCATTAGTCCTCATACTGGCCCTCGGTCGACAGAACAGGAAACTGAGGGAGAAGTAGCTTGCCCAGGGTCACCAGCTGGAGAGGGACCAAGCCCTTGTCCGGTTTCTCACATACTGCTCTTCCCCAGGAAAGAAGGCTTCACACTCTGGTCTCAAACATGTTTGTGAAAAGGTTGGCTCTGCCTGGCTGGTGATGGAGAAGCTGTTCCCCACCTCTCCAGTCCTGGGCGGGATGGAAAAAGACACAGGGGGCCAATTTCCACCCAAGATAATCAGACCCCAAATCACCTTCTAATCTAATCACTCCCATCTCAGCACTGGGAGGCCAGGGAGGAGGGAGGAAGGAGGAGGAAGCCAGGGAGGTGGCCTCTGCCCGCAACATGGGGATGCAGGGGCATGGGGTGAAGGCATAGCATGCCCCCCCCCCGCAGCCTCGATGAGCCCTGGGGAGTCCTCCAGGCCCTAGCCTCAGATGGGCCAGAGAAGTTGGGGGCATCAAACTCCCCCTCTGGCCCTCCCTCCCTCTGTGCCCCGGCAGCACGCCCAGCCTTCGCTCTGACCATTGCCCCCCCAGCTCAGACACGCCCCCCATAGCTCCCCAAAGTCCAGACATCTTGGTCAGCACCCCCTGGATCACACCTCAACCTTCCTCCGGCCCTTGACCACCGACTCCCACACTGCGCCCTCTGCCCTGGGCGCAGCACAGCTCACTGGGCCCTTCTGTCCAGCCCTGGTCCCCAGCCCCATTCCCACCTCTGCTCACATAGTTATCACTGCCTGAATGCCCTTCCCACACCTCTTCTCCAAAACCTCCTCCTCAAGGCTCAGGACAAATGCCTCTCCTCTTAGGTGACTTCCCTGACCCCAACAAAAGGACATCACCTATGTCCTCTGGACTGCCCCCTGGGGTTTCCCCTGGGGGTGCCTCCAAGCCCGGTGTCCCCACTAGCCTGTGAGCCCCTGGAGGGCAGGTTTGAGGGCGAGTCCTCTCCTCCTGCCACAGTGGAGGCTTGTAGCTGGAATCCAGCACTGTCCTCCCTGCTACCTCCTTTTTTGTATCTCCCATGGTGGACATGTATTACATTTATAATGGAGAATCCACACACCCTCAATAAGCCATCTTTATGGTTTCACAAAGGGTCAAATTCATCCAGCCCAGCTGTCCTCCCTGGGCTGCCCCTCTCCCGCACCGGGACCTCACAGCCTGGTTGCCCCTCCTACAGAGCAGACCAGGTCACCCCCAGGCTGCCACTCCCCAGCTCCAGGATCCCCTGCAGGGGACAATGTTTAACCCCAAGGGCTGCAGACCCATGTAAGCCATGGGTCTTTGGGTGCGGACAGAGGTTGAGAACCTTTTGGGGAGGGGGGCCCTGGCTGGGCCTTGCACCAGGCTCCCAAGTCCATGGTCCCTTGGGTACCATCCTTCACCTCCTTATGCTCCCATGGAGCCCCTCAGAACACACAGCATGGGGGGTGGTTGATAGAGAGGACCCTAAGCTGAGGGGGAGGGGACTGGGAACAAGTCTGGTGTCTGCTGCTGATGTGCTGGGTGACCTGAGGCCAGCCGTCTCCTCTGTGGACCTCAGTTTTGTCCTCTGTAAAATGGGGAGGTCTGGCTTAGGTCATCACCTCTCAATGGTGAAGTCTGGGCACCTTAGGTCCCAAGGAGATGAGGGCCACTCCTGGGTGGGGTAGGGCAGCCTCCATGAAAAGGCAGCATCTCGGGGAGTTCTGACGGGCCAGCAGAGGCCTGAGCAGACAAACTGACCATGTGTCACTCCCTTCCAGGGCCACGCTTGTTCATGGGATGGACAGGTGTGGTGGAGTCCAGCTCTGTGCCGGGCTCTGGGGCCCAAGGGGCCTCTGGTGGTCCCTGCCCTTCAGGGGCTCACAGTCTAGTTAGGGTTGAGGGGAACAGACAGGCACACACATCAGCAACAACACAGGACAACAGAGACCCAAGGGTCCCGTGGCTGGCGGGGGACACAGCCCAGGCAAAGGGGGGAGATGGGACAGTGGGACAGCTGCGGATCAGCTGGGCTGAAGCTGAGGGTGGCCTGATTGCAGAGCTGCAGGGTTGGGTGTCTCCTCGGGGTTCAGTAGGGAGCCGCCGGAAGTATTCTGGGGGGAGGGAAGAAGAGAGCTCATATTTACGGACGTTCCCCATGTACCCCATACTATCTGAGCCCCTTTTCCCACTCGGTGGCCACAGTCCCCGGGTGAGGTTATTATCATCACCCGCATTTCACAGGGCATTGCTGGGGCGGCCGGGTGGCTCCCGGCTCCTATTCTCTCTCCCTTGCTGGGAAGGCTTGTGCACGAAGTCAGAGGCAGAGCTGTTTGGGGACACAGCCCCGAGGAGCGAGAGGGAGGCAGGCGAGCGGTGAGGGAGCTCTGTCAGCATCGAGCTCCCGCCCATCCGTCTGTCCATCCATCCGTGAGCCAGAAAGGAGCTCGGGCCCAGGGAACACTGCGGGCTCCCACCAACGGGACGGCCTGTCCTGCCCCACCTGAACCTTCATCTCCTCTCCCTGCAGATGACTTCTGCGGCCTCTAACCTGGCAGCTGAGTGTTGGCCAGAACTTCCCCAACT